GTATACATTGCGCGCCCACACTATTGCGTTATTGCTGCGCTCGCGCTGGCTTTGGCGGGAACTTTGTTCGTGGGCTTGACGGCCTCCTTTTTGCCTTGGCTTCTTGCTCCGTACAGCCGTTGGCATTTGCCGACAGTTCGTATCGGCCGGTACTTCTTCTCAACAGCAGCTTGGCTTCCGAAGACGGGGGGAGGGAGAGAGGAAGGAGCACGCCTGGCTCGATCTTTTTTACTTACGGAGCAAGTATGTGCTCTCTCTCTCTCTCTCTCTCTCTCTCTCTCTCGTTCCATCGTGCAATCATCGGTGCTTATCTCGTTATGGATGTCCCGTCGGGCTTGGCCGTGATGCTCCCCCACGTAGAGGGATGCATGTGGCATTACTGATCGTAACCTATCGTAACCTACGACTTCAATCGCGCCGCCGCCGCAACCCCACCACGGCTGAGCCCAGGAGTAGTAGAAGAGACTGCCTCTGGTACCGGGGTTATCGTTGCAGTATTACTCTCCGGGTGGTGACAGCCCGCACGTCTTGTTCCAGGTGTAGCATCCCCACATCTGGCGCCAGCGCGCGAGGAGTCGCTTCCCTCTGACCAGGAGTGCCCTCTTCCCATCCAGCCCCCGGCCCCATGACTAGCGGTTTATAACCGAACCCACTCTTGCCATGGAACTCTCCATCCATTCCTCGGAGAGGCTGGAGGAGATATGTTAGGGGAGGGGGGAAGGGGCTGTGTGTGATGTATGATGCCGCTGCTGACGTGATGGTGCTGCACGTACAGACGTAATCATCTACCTGGTCCTTGAACGGGAAGGAAGAGATGCATAGAAGACGAAGAATCTTCCACGGTGTGGGTTACACCACGACGATCACCCGGATCCTGCATCGGGGTGTTCGTGATCAGACAGAAGAAGACTGAGAGGGAGAAGACCACGTAACCTGGCCCATCTCTGGCCCGGCATACAAGCTGTATCCGCGTAGGATTCCATCGCATCGAACTGACGATGGAAATCACACCTCCCTCCTCCCCCAGCTCCATTCAACGCATGCCTAGGCTCCCTTGATGAACCAGAATGGAGGAGAACTAGCATATCATACAGGGATATTCCAACCACCGCCAGGCTACTGCATGCAGATAGCAGGAAGAGGGAGAGAGAAAAAAAAGAGTTTCCAACATTCGTCTAGTGCGGGATCAACGTGGTCGGGGTTTTTTTCTTTTTTTCTTTTTTTTTTCTTTTTCTTTTCCTTTTTTTTTCTTTGAGAAAGGGGGGGTAAGAAAGCTTGAATCTTTCTCCCGCCCAACCTGCCAGCCCATCCTACCTCTTATGCAGTGTTACTATCTGCAGCGCACGGTTCACACTTTCACACTTCAGGATACAGACGGGGAAAGTCACATCACGGCCAGCATTGGCTTAGTTTCATCCTCTCAACTACTGGCTACTCCCTGGTCGTGTTTTTGTTCTTCCCTGCAAGGTCCCAGGGACTTTTGCCTTCTTCACATGTACTATATCATGGAAAGAATGCAGAGAGAAGGTTTAGAACAAGAGCTGCTCTGATGGCGCGTAGATTAGAGGGCGGACACGGAGACGGTCCACTCCCTCCTCCTCCACCTGGCCACCGTGTGCTTCCTCTCGGAGTGGGGGGCCGAGGGGAATGTGCATCCTGACTTCTCACGGATCCCTCCGCCGTTGTGATGATGGTTACCGGAATATCTGAGTTGAGCCGGGTAGGCGGGCTGTCAAGTGGTGGTTGGCAGAGCTCGAGACGGCCAGGCGGGGCACGACGTGTTAGGCAGAACAGGGTCTGACGATACCGATCTAATGAACCATGTGCGGGTGACTTGCAGGTGGGAGGTGGCCCGTCTGCAATCGTGTCTGTGCCGTCGTTCGTGTCGTTGGCATGTGCTCGACGTGCGCGGCAGCCATTTCCCCCTTACTTCTCGACGGGATTCTATCCTGCTTGTCGTGCAGAGAAGACGCCAACGTTATTTCATGGATCCATGGCTCCAGCTTCCGTGTGGGAGCGTTTCCTCGTCTTACAACACAGCTTGATTCCAGTTCCCTGTGTGCTGCTCCACAGTCACGTCGCCGAACAGCGATCCCTATATGAAGACTGCATCAGCCAGCAGAGACCGTATCGGCCAGTGACTACCGTTTCCTTCCTGCTGGCTTGGTTCAATATACGTATGACTGAGCCCACATGTACCAGGCGAACCATGAAATTAAAGGGAAAGCTCTAGTGGACTAGTCTAGAGCTCCTGATTCGATGCCGTTGACGTTCAGCAAGGTATATCCTGGTCGTGAAACTACGAGGCGTCGTGATCAGAGCAACTTGAAGCATGGTAGGTGGCTGGAACCTTTCGTATGAGTAAGGATCGACGGTCTATGCATCACCCCCATCATGGAGAGGAAAGAAAGAATAGTTGCTGAGAAGGATCGTTGGAAAACCTGCACCATGAGGACTGGAGCCGACGTCTTGACATATCTCATGCTGTAGACCGAAGTAACGTCACCGTACAGATTGCCGATGGCACCATGGAATCTTCAGAGATATTTGTCAAGAGGTATCGGTAGCCGGCTGTACTGTCATCCATGATTTCCACTCTGCGTACATTGTCGTCCGTACCGAGAGTAATACATAGTATTCTTGAACTGAGAGTTTCGATACTAGTACACGTCTGCAGCTTCTCGGGAGGCCGACGGGTTTCAGTACAGTTCATCGCTTTGGGTGATGCAATACTATCTAAACTTTGATCTTACAAGCCAAGAGATGCGTTCTTCTTCCTCTGTTCCTTGAGTCTATCCATGTCAAGCCAACCCTGATTCCAATAGTCTGGTTAGGATTGAACCCTGAACATTCCACTGAGCTAAGTATAGGAGGCCTTCAACAGTAAAGACACCCTCGTATCCATCAATCTGTGATTCGGTTCAGGAAATCCAATTCACGATTGTATCTCTCAGCTAAACAGGAAATAAGGCTCTCTACGTTCTGCGTCAGACATCTCTTTTGCAATGAAAAGCCTCAGAAACATGTAAGATACAAGAACTGCTCGGGTTAACGATGATATCAACGCCATATGCATGTAGTCCAAAGACCACGAGACGTACAGCAATCCAACTGGAAGTGTCTATCCAATCTGGTATGTGGTAAAATTGCTAGCACTCTTCAACTGTCACTTTCTTTGCTGGAGTTCAGGATATCGGTAATCTCGTTCTTTTCATTATTGCTGCAACATCCATCCAGTCGGAAATCATCCCGAGTATCAAGAGTGCTGATGTATCGATGTAATATAAGCATCATTCCACTCAACCCGGCTTGGGCCCGCGAGCAAGCCAGCATATTTCCCAATGAACAGTAACTTGACCTCTCCCACTGTATCCTCACTTGTATCACAGCTGCGATGCAGCTATCTGTGGCAGTTGGGTAAGAATGCAACGACAACGGAATCGCAAGTTTAGTATAGGGTAGTTTGACTGTCATACGAACCAAGAAACTCGACAACTAGATGGACTATGGCACGATCGCAGATCTAGGGAAGGTACATAACGGTCAACGTCGGGATGCAATCAAAGATTTATGGCTTGGATTTACTGGAAAGAAGAAAGAAGTGGCATTTGGGCTCCTACACATGATACACTCGTTGCGCCGTCGAATCTGGTCCACTCAGAGAAATCTTTCCCGTCGGTGGAGGGCCAACGACGTGTTCGTCATCAATTCCTTCATGCGACAATCTTGTGGTATAATATCTCGGTACTGATATAAAGACGGATGGGTATAAATATGGACGGATATCTTAGATCTTGGATTCGGGGCGGGGCTTCTTGAGCTCCTCGACAATGGGCTGCTCCAGCGATTCAGGCTTGCTGGTGCTGGCCCAGCGACCCTTGACGGCGCCGTCGCGGCCGATGAGGAACTTCTCAAAGTTCCACTTGATGCGGCGCAGGCCCATGAGCCCAGCTTTCTCCTTCTTGAGCCACTCGTAGAGAGGAGCGGCGCCATCGCCGTTAACCTCAATCTTCTGCATGATGGGGAAGGTAACGCCGTAGTTGATCTGGCAAAAGTTCTGGATCTCGTCCGAGCTGCCGGGCTCCTGACCACCAAACTGGTTGCATGGAAAGCCGAGGATGACAAAGTCGTCGTTGTAGGCAACCTTGAGCTTCTTGTACAGCTCCTCGAGGCCGGCGTACTGCGGGGTGAAGCCACACTTGGAGGCCGTGTTGACAATCAGAACGACTTTGCCGCGGAAGTCGGAGAGAGGGACCTCCTTGCCGGTTTCTGAGGGGAGGGGTTCATTATTTGTCAGCGATGCAGGTGTAATAGGGAGAGAGAGGCGGGCGGGGCGGAGCGGTTTGCTTGCTGTTACTCACTGTCGAGAGGCGCAAAGTCGTAGAAAGAAGTAGCGGAAGACATTGTGTGTATCGGTCGTCGAAGCGGACTGTCGACAATAGTAGTCGATGAGAAGAAGGCTGCAGGGGATGATTGAGTCGCAATGGTAGAGGTGCAGAGATTGTTTCTGTCGAATGATGAAGTGGAGAGAGGTGACGTTTTATAATGCAGGCAGGAACGGGTAGATACTGTTATAGTAGCAGTAGCGTAAACGGGGAAGGCGCGACGGAAAGCGCCGAGGTGATGACGAGGTAAAGCAGAGAGCATGACAGGTAGGCAGGGTCCTGTTTTCCCCCTCTCTCCCCCTCTAGTTCACCAAGTTATTGCACTCGGAGGAGAAGAAGGGATGGGTGAAAGGGCAGCTAGAAAGATCGCTGAGGGGAGGAGCCACAGCAGGGGACCGGACCGGTGTTTCCAAATAGGTGGCGGAATGTGTCAAGGCCGGTTACGATAATGTGGGTGGATGGTATTTGTATGGAGGCCATTGGAGGGCAAGCGGTTGATAGTCAAGTGGGCGCGATGCAAACTCCGCACCTCCGGGTTTGGCTTGTGATATGTGAGAATTTACGACAGTGCGAAGAAATAAAGAAAGGAAATTAATAGCAGGCAATAGAAGCCAATACTCGTAAGAAGAAAAAAACGAGTACTATAATCGTCGCTAATATCCGTAAAGTCCCCGTAGCGGTTTCCTTGCCGTCATTGACTGCGACATCGCGTGAGCCCCACGTGATGGAATGGTGTATCAGAATGCCGGATTTGCATACCGTCATCTCCCCCCCCCCCCTCAAGTGGCATGATGAAACTCGGCGTATTCAGATTTGGAAAATTTTAGAATCACTTCGTATAGTGTACTACTCCGACTCTTGCCCCGACTTGACTCTGATGCCACCTCAGTTCCTCGGCTCTTCCGCCCCCCACCCCCTGCTTCGACTTCCACTGCTCGCAGTCCATGGTGTGTACCTGACCATTGAACCCCGCATACGTCATTGTCGGCAGAACCAACATCTCTCATCACTCGCCCCTGCACCATGGATGGGAAGCGCAATATAGTCATTGTAGGTGAGTATCACCATGCAGAACGATTTAATTCATCGTCTTACTCGTCACTCATCCAACTCCCCGTGCACCTTCAGGAGGCGGCATCATTGGTAGCACAACAGCCTACTTCCTCACCCGCCACCCCAAGTTCAGCCCGGCCCTTCACACCGTGACCCTGCTCGAGGCAGCACCCACCCTCGCGGCCGGCGCATCGGGCAAAGCAGGCGGTCTATTAGCTCAATGGGCCTATCCGTCGTGCCTGGTTCCCCTGTCGTATAGGCTGCATGCCGACTTGGCAGCTGAGCACAATGGTGTCCAGAGGTGGGGGTATCGCCATGTCCAATGTGGGAGCATCGAGGCGGCCGTGTCCAAGGATCGGATAGACGGGCAGAAGCTGGCGGGCGACGGCATAGGAGACGCCCAGAAGAAGTGGGAGAAGCTACCAAAGCAGGACGACGCAGCAAAAGATCTTCTCGACCCCCGCACCGGCATGCCCCGTGATCTAGACTGGATAGACGTCGATGTCGTCCAAGCCTACGCGGAGATGGGTTCGCCAGGTGCAGCAGAGACATCCCAAGTCCACCCTCTCCATTTCACAAAGTCGATGGGTGAGCTCGCCGGCGCGGCGGGCGTGGAAATACGCACCAATGCCAAGGTGACGAAGCTGCGCACGTCAGCCACAGGCGTCGAGGGCGTCGAGTACCTAGATCGCAACACGGGAGAGACAAGGGAGATGAGCCATGTGACGGACATAGTCGTGGCAGCAGGCCCGTGGACCGGACGAGTCCTTCCCCGGTCCAAAGTCGAGGGTCTCCGCGCCCACAGTGTCGTGTACGAGGCTGATGTCAGTGCCTATGCTGTCTTCACGGATATCTCCCTTCCCACCGACTTTGTCCCTGAGCATCGTGCCAAGATGGGGCAGTCGAGACGTCATAGGGGCAACGTCGATCCGGAAATGTATGCCAGGCCATTTGGCGAAGTCTACGCGTGTGGTATGTCCCTGTCGGTCTTACTGTTTTCCTTTTTCTCTAACCCTTCTTCCTTGGTTTTCGTTCTTCTTGTTCCTTTCTTCTTTTCATTTTTTTTTTTTTTTGCCTTTGCCTGCCAATATCAACTAATAACCTCAGGCGAACCGGATACCACCGTACCCCTCCCCGAGACGGCCGACCTTGTCCAAGTCGAACAAGCCCAATGCGATGACATAATAGCCTACATCGGAACCATAAGCCCCATTCTAGGAGCCGCCCCGATCAAGGCGAAGCAGGCGTGCTACCTGCCCCAGCATATCCGCTTCGGCCACGAGAGCGGTCCGCTCATAGGCAAAACTGCAATTCCGGGACTGTTCGTCGCGGCGGGACATACCTGTTGGGGCATACAAAATGGTCCAGGGACGGGAAAGCTCATGTCTGAGTTTGTGTTTGATGGGGAGGCCAAGAGTGCGAATATATCCAAGCTGGATCCGAGAAAGTTCAAGGTGTAAGCTCCAGAGGGAGTCTGCATTTGCTCCCACCTTCTTTCCATGTCAAATGGTCTGAAGCTGTGTTAGAAGATCTATAGTACACACAGAAACACAGAAAGAGAACAATAATAAACGATGAATGAAGAAATGAGAATAACTGTACTCGTCGTTGGATTTCACCTTGTCAATGAAATGGATGAATAGTGGGAAATGCGCTAACCAGTGTCCCATGTGGCGGGGGGAGGGGAGGGTGGGCTGGAGGAGTAAAAGAAAAAAGAAAGTCTTATCGATAAGATGGCGAGCATTCAAAATTTTTGGTGGCACTCTTCAAAGCGACCCGTCTTCCCAACATCAACATCACCACACGTCCAATCCACAGCAACAAAGACACTTCTCTAGGACAAGATGGGTCGTGAGATTCAAAAGAAGAAGCGTCGCTCTCAGCGCCAACCGGTGCGCCAGCCTAATCGACCCAAGCGTCCTCTCAACCCCCTCGGTAACAGCACAATTGCCCAGAATTGGTGAGTTTTTCGTCCATGTGGCAATGCAATATGCAAAATGGAAGAGGAAGGAGAGGAAGAAGGAAAGAAAAGGAAGAGGAGAATACGGAAAATGAAGGAGACTGACAGGCATTCCCCCTCCAGGAACAAAAAAGAGACTCTGGCGCAGAACTACCGCCGTCTAGGCCTGGCGGCTCGCCTGCGCGGTCCCACAGGCGGCACGGAGAAGCTTCTCAGCAGCAGCAAGGAGGCCGGTGCATCTGGCCGGCCAGCCAAGCGCAGCGACGTCGACCCGTTCGCCATCGCGCCTACGAACCAAAAGGCCGTCCTGGGGGAGGCCAAGGTCGAGCGCGACGCCTCGGGTCGGATCGTCCGCGTCATCCGTCCGGGTAGCGGCAACGATGCCAACCCCCTCAACGACCCCCTCAACGAGTACGACTCCGACTCGGACGACGGCACCGGCGCCAAGAAGAAGGGCGCCAAGATTGACAATGGCGTCGCCAACTACGAGGAGTGGGGCGGCATCCGGGAGCAGGGCGACGAGACGGACGTCGTCAGGACGCTCATGGACGAGGCCAGGAACCCCGCCGAGAAGAAACCCAGGTACCAGTCCTCCCGGGAGAGGGAGTGGCTCACCAGCCTCGTCGACAAGCACGGCGACGATGTCACCGCCATGGCCAGGGATCGCAAGTTGAATCCCATGCAGCAGACCGCTGCCGATATAGCGAGGCGTCTGAAGAAGCTGAGAAAGGAGTAGAATAAGGTCGCGGGTGGGTGTATGTATGTATGGGGCGATTTTTTCTCTCTCGAGGCGGGCGTTTGGAGTTCTCTTCTTTTGCATAACACACATGACTACGTACTCTTAAGACAGAAAAACAATAACAAAGGTGCATACTGCTAGTGAAATTTGGACAAATTATATTTCCCAAAGTGCCTTCAATTTACATCACACTATTCAACCTTCTTTTGGAAATAAGTGTCCGCTATGCACGATGCACAAGACAGAAACCGACATGTACATTCCAAGCCCGATACTCCAACGCCTGTCCAGTGCCAACGAAAAATCCAAGCTCCCCAGGGCGTTACAGGGCATGAGAAATATCAACGAATAAAAGAAATAAATAACAAGGGTTGCACTTCCATGTACACGTTTCTCTTTGATTCCACCTCTTTCTCTTTACATCATTCCAGACTGTCAATTTCTACCGGTCAATGCGGTCGTAATTGGCGGCTGGGAACTGTGCGGGATCATCATAGCGACCGCTGTATCCGCTAACTGACGAGTTACCGCCAATGGCAGAGTTGTATTCGGTGTCGGCATCGAAGAGATGGTTGGGACGGGCCGCAGGGGCGGTTGAGCTGCTTCCGAAGCGGCTGGTGGCGTCATAGTCGTCGGCGCTGTATGGGTTGGCGTTCCCGTAGCTGTCACCCGTCTGGCCGCTGAGGAAGGTGTCGTTGTCCTCGTGGTTGATGCGCTCGTATGCCTCGTCGTCATGGGGGGCCATGGAGAAGGCGGCCTTGTCAGGGTCGATGCTGTCGCTGCCTCCCTCACCGGCGCGCATCTTGCGGTTGTCGTAGCCGGGAAGGTTGCCGTGGAACTTGTAGTATTGCAGGGTGTAACCGCTAACAAGGGTCGTTAGGGTAAACAGGAGGCTATGGTATATCAGTCAATCTCCGCGTTACACAGACAACTGGGGAACTGTTTGTTTTAACACTGGGGAACGTACAAGTTGACAACTCCCAGGCCGACTATACCCTTGCTGACCTTGCAGGCATTGCCACACTTGCCCTCGGAATTGTAGGCGGCCTGAGTGGCAAATGCCGAGATCCAGATGATGGTGAAGACCACGTCGACGGCCAACATGGCGTGAGCCTGCGCGAAGCGGCGGGTGCGGGCAAATCTAGGCGTGCAGACTAAATATATCCAGGCTGGTATCGAGAGAAAGCACTGGCAAATGTCAGTAGACGGGCAGATCATGGGGCCGGGGGCGAGCACAGGGCGTGGAGAGGCTCAACATACAACACCAAAGGTCCAGCCATTGCGGCCGGTAATCTTGGATTTGGAATCGGCAAAGACTGCCAGCTCCATACACCATAGTACGAAGGAGACGACGATCTGTGCGGAGTGCAGGCCCAGCTTGACGGGCGGCACGTAGTTGGGATCCCATTCCCAAGAAACCATTTTGATGTCTGGCCTTGTGTAAGTATGAACTGCTATCGGCAAAAAAAAAGTGTGTTGTTTTGAGCAAGGAGTTGTGTATGTTTTGTGTCGACGGAGCTAGCGGTGATGACGGAAGATGATGGAACCTGTTGTTAGTGTGGTCCCTTCCTTTTTTGGTTGTCCCCCTACTGTCGCGGGGCAACGGTCCAGCTAGAGTTGAAACGGCGTCGGGCAACCAGGACACCCGGTTTGTCTGTCTGCGTGTGTGTGTGTTGTGTGTGTTGCGTGTGTTGATTGTGAAGCAACAAGTGAAAGCAGAGGAGATGGTTGAGACAGAAAAAAAAAGGACAAGAAAAGAAAAGAGGAGAGAAAGTGAAGAAGGAAAAGAACAAAAGCACGAGCAAACCTGGATCAGCCTGATCGGTGGCCCAGTTGTTTGACACTCGCCTCACCCGCTCTTTCCTTGTTCTCAGTCTCCCGCTCCTGCCCGTTTTTTTTTTTTTTGCCGTGGCGCTGGCCCGGTGACGACCAACTCCAGAGGGACGGGGTGCTGAGCCACATTTTTCACTGCAGGCAAGTACGTACTTCAGGTGCAGTCGTAAGCTTCCAGTTGCGGGGCCACCATAGGCATTAAACCTCCCGAGTAGCAGGTAGTAAGGCCTTGTTACATCCCCTAAAATCCTCAAAGATTTAGGTAGGTCCCTTAAAGAACCCCCCTAAAGCCCATAATAACATGACCTTCTAACGACTTCGGATCCCGGCGCACAGCCCCAATACCTCTACGCCACACATACACGTACGCAAATCGTGCAGTATCACGACGTAATAATACAATACGAAGTTTCCTCGTACAGCGTCACTGGATTCGAGCTGCTCAGGAAGAGTGGACCGATCATCGTGTGACCCTTGTCTCACGCTCTGCGCGTAATGTGAGTCTATTCCCTCTTGGCTTTTTTTTTGTTTCTATTTTAGGAGTTCACTGTTCAGATTATTACCTACAACTCTTCTCTCTCTACTCCGTACCCGTAAACTCTCGTCATCTGATCTCAATCTGTGTTGGAATTAACCGCTGCACCACTAAGCAAAATAAGCAAAAGTTTAGGCCGGATTTCTCAGGTGGCTGTAACAGCCGGTTATACGTCTCTCATACAACCTGACACTCTCCCACTTTCTCCATCTACATGTACGGAATATTACGCTAGGATTTACTGCGCTAGAAACCCTCCATCCACCGGCAAATTGACCCCCGTCACCCATCTAGCCTCCCCGCTGGCTAGGAATACCGCAGCCCCGACAATGTCATCTGGTTTCCCGATGCCGTGCAGCGGGTGCAGCGGTCCTATTTGTGCGACATTTCCCTCGTATGATCTGGTACCTTTGTAGATGGCCGTCTCGGTGTCTAGGGGGGTTAGAGGTCAGAAATAAAAATCGGCAACGATAAATGGCAACAACAACAGAAAGAGGGTAGAGGAGAGAGTGATAGAGAGGCAGAGAGAACTTACACCCAGGACAGATGGCATTGCAGTGGATATCGTCCCTGGCATACTCGAGCGCAATCGTCCGCGTCACGTTGCTCACAGCGCCCTTGGACGCCGCGTACGAGGCTGCAACAACGTTCATGTGGTCAGCCTTGGTCGGCTTTCTCGTTGCTGTTCCCGTCGGTCTAAACCCCCCCGAGATGAAACCATACCGTTGTTGTACCCCCCAACAATACCATATATCGAGGCGACATTGATGATCCATCCTCTGTCGCCAAACGGCCGATCATCCTGCTTCATCATCTGCCCAATCACGTGCTTACACCCGAGAAAGATAGACTTGGCATTGACAGCCATAGTCAGATCCCACTCGTGCTCGGGGGTCTCGTGGATCCGGAGTGCGTCCCTGTTGGGCTCGACAGCGATGCCAGCGTTGTTGACAAGGCTACATCACAGTATCGTCGTTGTCGTCAGACCCGTTGCCTCAACGCAACCCAAGGGAGAGTAGCAGAGAGGGAGAGCACAGGACTCACACGTCAATCCGTCCGAACTTGCTCACGGTCTCCTTGACCAGATTCTCAAAGTCCTCGCTCTTGCTAACATCTGTCTTGACGAAAATGGCCTCCCCTCCATTCTTCCTGATGTACTCATCGGTGTTAATGTCTAGCTCCGAGTTGAGATTCGATCGCGCCGTGGGTTTCAGGTCCGCGCAGACAAGCTTGGCCCCTTCGCGGGCGAAGCCCAGTGACATGGCGCGGCCGAACCCGGATGAGGCGCCGGTTACGATGCATACTTTCCCATTCAGACGTCCAGACATCTTGTCCCCCTTGCTCTTTGCTCTGCCTTCTTTCTTCTCTCGTCTTGTTACTCTGATACTGCCAGTTGCCGATTTGATAAGCTCGTCTGGAACCAGAAAAAGGACGGGGAAAGAGATGATAATTTCGATGAATGTGTAAGGAGTCAAGAACTATCAGGGAGTATGAGGACAAGATATAGAGCACCGAGACAGAATATATAGAAACAACACAATGCCCCATGAGCGGGGAAGGAGAGACTCGTGGAGCAAAGTAAACCAGCACCGGCCAGGAGCACTTGACGGTTCCGCGTGTGGAGAAACCCATGTGTCGGTTCCGATCTCTTCCTTGGAAAGCAATTGGACACTTTGTAAGTGGTGTGCATGCCCATCCTCTTGGCAGGTCCGCATTGCAAGATGACAGGCGGGCGGGGAGTCTCCAAGGTACGGGGCCCGCCCACCTCCACCCCCGTATTATCCCTCTTTCTGTTTTCACTTCTTCTTCTTCATCTCTTCCTTCTTATTCGTCTGTCTGCTCATATTCGCTAAAATGGTCCGAACTCCGTTAAAAGTTTACATCAACGGAAGCGTGTCTATTATATCTCGTTATCCATTGTTGTCTCCAGAATTATATATCTCATCCTCATCCCCAAAGCACCGTTAAGTACAACCTGCCAGAGCTGAGTTCGACCCTGCCAAGAATATGTAAAAATAAAAATCAACGTCTCCATCTCGGTTTGCTTCGTAGTATGATTCCAAAATGAACCAAAGACTTACCGTTACTGTAATCTATACATGCCGTGTACACAGCCTATGCCAACACCCTCCTCTTAAATGCAATATCGAGACCCAGGGGTTTTCTTAGAAAACCCTCTCTCGTCTCCATCACCTCCTGCTCAAGCACGACATCGTACCTGCGCACCCACGTAGCAACAATAAGCTTCAACTCCATATCAGCCACGTTCCTCCCAATGCACGCACGCGGACCGTAGCTAAAAGGGATAAAGGCGTCCTTTTGCCTCTGTGTGATCGTCTGCCACCTCTCTGGGCGGAACTCGTCACAGTCTGAGCCCCAGATATCGGGAGAGTGGTGGATAGAATAGGTCGGTACACTAAGTGTCGTTCCCGGCGGAAAAAAGTGCCCACAGATCTCGACGCCGGGGGATTCAGGGGGTATGGTGCGGGGAAGGCCGATGCCCGAGGTGGAGTGGTACCGGAGCGTCTCGTTTATGACGTTTTGGAGGTAGGGGAGGTCCTTGATCATATCGTAAGTCGGGACCGTCGTGTCAGCAGGAATGGCCGCGTCTAATTCCTGGCGGAGCTTCTCGATAACTCCTGATGTGCGGACTGCATGGTACAGCAGGGCACATGACGAGTTCGATGTCGTGTCCGATCCGGCAATCAGCTGAGTCAGCGCCTCGGCCGTGAGCTCTTCGCGGCATAGGAGCTCGCCCTTTTCGTCGCGACCCTCCATGAGCCGGGCGAGGAGGTCTTTGCGTTCGGGGGGCGGAGGGGATTCGAGCCGGTTCCGTACCCGGGCGATGGCTATGCCGGCTAAATCGCTGACGGCTGCGAGACCCTGGCTGAAGAAGGGGTCCGGCAGCCAGCGGGCATAAGGCTTGAGCTGCGGCAGACACCCGAGCGTGGCAGACACTTCGCCGCGGCGGTTGAGGATCTCGACAGCCGGTGCAAAGATGGGTGGACTGTCGGGCGAGCCCCGCACCTCGGCAACATCAGCGCCAGCGTCGAGCATACCAAAGGGCGAGCCAAAGGCCAGGTCGCCAATCACGTCAAAGGCCAGGTAGTTGAACCAGTTGAGGCAGTCTACGCGCGCATAGCCTTCCTCCCTGAGGGACTGGGAGGCCAGCTTGTCCCATTGAGAGGCGAAGCGCTCCAGGTTGGTGTGCATGTACGGCTCAAATTGGCCAACTGATTTGACGCTGAAAGTATGAGAGACAATCTTGCGCTTACGGGAGTGCTCCGGGCGGGAGCGCGTGTTGAAAAGGCCTCGCTGAATAGAGACGAAGGCGTCATAAAACTCTCTGCATGGGACAGTGTGAGTTCGCCATGGTCAAGGAACCACAAGATTGCATCCAGGCAAGCAGGAGAGGCCGGGAAAAATTACAGAAGAACAAGGAGGAGGGGACGTACGCCTTGAGAAAGCCATTGCCGTGGCCATAGATGATACTTATGGCCTTGTCATCATTGATGCTGATGTGATTGGGCTGGATGCGCATGACACGGCCGTGCTTCTTGTGGGCCTCATCGACGAGAAGGTATCTCTTACCTCTTCTCGCCGTCATGAGTAACCAGAGATTGGAGAATCGAGCCAGCAGCGGTCCCGGAATCCCTCGCAGGGCCTTGTGCGTCACCAAGAAAGGGTAGAGGTAGGCGACCATCAGGGCGGCCAAGGCCGTCCATGGTGAGAGGATCAGGTGGATGAGAGTCATGGCCGTTGCAGCAGCATCAACCCGGGGACAACACTGGCCGAGTCAGGGGAAGGCAGCAACTGATGAGGGAGACGCCTGTCGTATTTATAATATGAAAAATCATGTGTACGTGGGCCGTGGAGGCTGCTGCGTATGTGCGGGATCAAGCCGGGGCTTTTACGGCACAGGCTAGACTGGCTAATAAGAGCAGGAGGTGACAGTCAAGTGATTACGAGTTTTACTGTATCATTGTTGCCGGCGAGTAATGTCCATACTACGAATTGGCCTATTCGAGGAGGTTGAAGACGTTCAGGCAAAGGGTAAATCCATGGAACTAACGAACCAACGGCAAGTACGTAGTAGCGTGAGTTGGTGGCTCCTTCCATGGATAATAACATCGCTAGTGTCATGTCGCTCCTCCCTTCTCTCTCCTCTTTGCCCTCTGTGTGAGGCTGCTGTACCTCGGAGGCTTGAACTCCTGCCTCAGGCTGTCAAAGTGTATACTAAGCTGCCAATGAAAAGACCTGTGCGATGTAATGTTACCTATCCAATTTTTCCTCCTGCACATTGGTCGCATTGCAAAGGCTTCTTCTCCACTCTTTATTACCTCAAGCCTGGGATTCTTCCAGTCGAAACTTGCCAGTCTGACATCCTTCGCCTCCCGTCACCCGTCGTTGCTGTCACCAGCAGTTCTCTTCTCAGAACAACCAACCATACAGAATACAATCATTACATACTGACTTCTTCTACGCTAACCTCCGCATCTCTACGCTAACCTCCGCATCCCCACCGTATCTTTTTCCTGCCCGCAATTATACTTTTGGCCGGGGCCCCACGTGGAAGACACAATCGTCCCGTGCAGATCGGGATTCGCATTCGGCAATCGTGGAAGGAGGTGCGCGAGGCGGCCAACCCAACCTCCATGACGTGTCTGCAGGCACACACATACTCCCCTCCTCCGCTAAGAGTCTTAGTGCGGGTGTGAGCTGGCTCGGCACTGAATCTCGGGTAGTGCCCGGTTACGAGTGGAGAAATGGGGAACTCTGGGGAAACGGGGCAAGAGCCAGAGAGAATGAATTGATTAGAAAGACCTTATCCGCCCCTCTCTCTTCTCGGGAATTATGAGGGCCGCCGGTTCTTGATCTTTCTTCCTCTCTTTTTCCTCTGAGGTTCCTTCCACCCGGCTGGTGATCCAGGAAAGAAGAGAGATGGCCCCCAGCAATAGTCCCTCGTCTCCTGACGTGCGTCGCCGACATGCTACGGATACTACCTCGGTAACTACCAGCAAACGCCAGCGTGTATCTCTCGCCTGCGATCACTGCCGCGCCGTCCGAGGCCGCTGTGATGGTCGTCGTCCCAGCTGCGGTGCTTGTCTCGCACAGCACAGGGACTGCTCGTACACGTCTTCGCGAAGGAGGAGAGGCACACCGACCGGTTACCTCCGTGCTATCGAGTCTTCCCTGGCCTACCTCGTTCAGCAGTCGCCAAACAACGCCAAGCTTCTTGAATGCCTACTCAAGAATGGTACAGACATCTTTGCATCACATCCAAACCCTGCTGCAGACCACCTGCATAAGCAGTGGACCAATAGCCGCTTTCGCAAGGATATGTGGTGCTTACTAGTCGACGGTTACCGCAGTGAGCACGACACAGACGGTTCCGTCATGGATGACGAGAGCACGAGTATCAGAGGCACCAGTATTGGCCGCACCAGCATCGGAAGCAACGACGTACTCAGGATCATACCCGGACCACGTTCTACCCTGCCTCCAGAGCTGCCCGATAGCACTCGTACCTCAGTTGCTACTTCTTCCTCCTCGGCCATGAGCCAACAGCAACCCAACGCACATCTCCCCACCAACTGGGAGCACCTTGTCGATGTCTATTTTGCCTACACGCACTGCTGGCTACCTATTCTCGACAGAGAAACCGTCATGGACGCAGCCCTGTCCTTCCCAGCAAACGGGATTTCCACCAGCCAGATGGCAAATGTGCCTTCCATGTACGCCGAGCTATGGGCAGTCCTTGCTTTGGCATCGTTCCAAGACTCAGACCCCATGTCCAATCACGACCCCACCGGGCCGCCGAACCCCTGCCCCCACACCATATACTCCGCTGCCCGCAACATGATGCCGTCCGAAGAGAAGCGCTTTGAGCTACCACACCTCCGGGCTCTACTCCTGCACTCTCTAGTCCTCATGGGACAGGGCTCTGGTTTGGCGGCCTGGATGTTGATTGGCACGGCCGTGCGGCTAGCACTCCACCTACGCGAGACGGGCGATTTATACACGTACGGAGGCCAGTCCAGTCCATCACCCGCAGGCCACCTCGCCTTTGCCGCCTCTCTGGCCCTCAACACACTGGCATCAGCCTACCTCGGCCAGCCAACGTTTCTCAGTGTCGACACGGAGCAGCTTACGGCCTCCATCAACGCCATGGGCAACTCGTCACAAGACGAAGTCTGGGCCTCAGCCACGGGCGACGTGCCGCCCGCTCAGGTCAACCCCATCAAGACGTTCCGACAGCTATACAAGATGACGCAGATCCTCAGTGCCCACCGTGCCAACTCTTCGAGCGCCAAGCCTACCACCGCCCAAGCCCTCATCGACTGTCTGGACCCTGAGTTCTCCTTCTGCAACAGCGTCATCCTCGGCCGTACAACCCCCACCATACCCTCGGCCTTCGTCTTGCATGCCTGCTTCCTGACCGTGCTGACCCAGTGCGAGCCGGGCCGTCGGTCCTCGCTGCTCTCGTCCCTGCGCGAGGTAATCGAGAGCTGTGTGTCCACCTTTGGCCCTCGCGGCGTGCCCCCGGTCGTGGTTTGTCTCGCCGGTACAGCCCTGCGCTCCAGACATGCCAATAGGATAGAAGTCGGCGAGAGGTCTAAGTGGGAGCGTGTAGCTGGCCACCTGAGAATGGTATGGACCGGCCGCACAGGCGGGCGTGGCCGACTGGAAACACCTGCCGCCGTCAGTCAGAGCAGTGCGGACAGTAACCTGGCACCGGCTACGCCGGCAGCGTTGCACTCTGATGCGGGGAGTATACTGGGCATGCAGCTTGATGCTAACAGTGTGGATTTCGACATGGCCACAGCCACGGCTGGGACTCTCTGGGTTGGCGAGCACACGGCCGCGCATGATCCGTTTCTCAGCGATATGGGACCTACATGGCTAAACGGGGGCACACCACCCTACATGCCTTAGCACATCCCACATCATATACTACTTACTGTACTTGACTAATTATATTTAATGCAAATGCATGGATGATATGCCAAGCACATCGTGCGGGGATAACAGCACAAAGCTAGGAGTGCACCTCTCTTGGCCAATGACCGAATGGGGTGCCACACCTTGTCCGGACATGCACCGAGGCACGACCGATATGTGTTTAAGACGGTCGAAAGACGGGTAACCATATCCAGACGGAGACGATCTTGGTGGCTAAGCTTTCCTTGTTGGTCGTGCGACCCACCAACACCCGTTACCGATATGATAATACGAACATGGACATTCTGTGCAGGGACAAAAGAGAGAATGTACATATAGTAGGCAGCAATGACTAACAAGGTAACTATACTAGCATGATGTCGACATTATCGACAACTTGAACAGGATCCTCGAGAATTGATGTGTCAGGAAAAAAAAAGGGACATTGATTGAAGTGTGGTACGGGTACCTACGATGGGGCAAAAGAGTAAAAAAGAATAGGAAAAAAAGAATGACACGACTGGGACTCGAACCCAGGCCCCTTTCGAGACTGCGAAAGTGTAACCGTTCAGAAGATTGGTATTCACCTGAACACAGCGCCTTAGACCACTCGGCCATCGTGCCTTTTTTTCTTCGTTGAGGAACAAGAGTTGCATTTTGGTATATGGAGTGAATGTTTACAGCAAGAACGCTCCGCGTAATCTGTTTCCCTTTCAATAGCAACAAAATGTGATCCACTCTTTCCTAGAACGAGTACCCTGTGGTTATTACCCTGATATATTCTATCAAAAATGACGATGCTCTCTTCCTCGCATTCGCTATCGACTTCTTCTTTCCTTTTCCTTGAGGAAATCTCACTTTTCTCACTTAATAGCCTAACAGGTCAGGGACACGGGTGGGTATGTGGATAGAATTAAGCTGTATGCGATACCACCATGTATGTAGATACTCATGATGGCGGTCGTTGGATAAACATTTACAAATGCCTACGTGAGTATTGATTTCTTTCCGGCTTACCCCCCTTCTCTCCTGGTGATATGATGATAGTGGATTATTGGTTATTTGCGATACACATCAGTGTATTTCGTGACTGACTATCGTGAAAGCGCCTCCATTCCTAACCCAGCTACCGTCTATATGCATGTAAGTTGGAGGGTTTTTCTATCTTTTGGCAAAATGAAGCCTACTGCTTTATTCACAACTCCCACAACATACCGATACCTTACTCATTCGACCTCCTATCCAACGTGGTGTGAAGTGTATGCTGCCGAATCATGGAAATGCTAAACAAGGCCCCCACCGACAACGCTAGCAAAAACACCCACACGCCTTTGAACGCCTCCATGAACGAGGCCACCACACCGTCGTGCCAACCCTCGGGGAGGTGCTTGAGCTCATCCAGGTCGTCGCGGATGCGTTGTATCTTCTCGGCCGCGCCGGGGAGGTGACCGAAACGCTCCCACAGACGGGCCTTGAGAAGGTTTTGGTAAATGGCTGAGCCGATGGTGATGCCTACTGTGCCGCCGAGACTGCGGGCGAGGTCTGGGGTGGTGTTAGTATTCGCACTCTCGATTATGAGAATGATTTGACGAGAAAGGAAAAGGGCTGTAGAGAACATACAAGTTGCTGAAGTGACAACGGCCTGCTGGGAGTGATCAACCGAGGCGATGCACGCCAGCAGCGTCATGGTGAGCGTAGAACCGTAGCCGCCTCCAACAAACAGAAACGCGAGAGAGGTCAGCCAAGACGGCGTAGCCTCGGTCTGCATCGTGAAGAGCACGACACCCACAGTGAAGAGCACGAGACTAGACACGCCGAGCCAGAAATATCGACCCGTCCTCTTCATAATGTACCCTGCGCCCACGGAGCCAATGGACACGCCGACAGGGGAAGGCAGGATCCTGAGGCCGGCGGTCGTGGCCGTGTCACCGAGAACCTGGAGGTACAGCGGCACGTAGAACAGGGCCGTCATGACGACCATTGTGCAGAGGAGGTTGCACGCGCAGGCCGACAGTATGGTGCGGGTGACGATGAGCTTGACAGGGATGATGGGCTGGCGCGCCCTGCTCTCCCACACGACAAAGGCGACCAGCGTAACGACGGCGAGCGGGATGGTCGTTAGAGGCAGGGGATGCGTCCAGGGGACCAGGTTTCCACCGGAGTTGAGGCCAAGGAGGAGCAGGACGAGGAAAGACACGGTCAGGAAGACGCCGCCAAAATCGATGCGCGCGATGAAGGACTTGTCCGACTGCTTCGGCGGCACGCGGATGAGGATGGCAGCAAAGATAGCAGACAGCAGCACGGGAGGCACCTGAATGAGGAAGGCCAGCCGCCATCCCATCTTGGCGTGGTCGTTGAGCAACCCGCCAAAGATGCCGCCCAGCATTGCCCCGGACCCATAGCACACGTTTCCCACGCCCTGGATGACGCCTCGTTGTCTGAGGGGGATGAGATCTGACCCGAGGAAGGTCGAGATGCTCATCAGCCCACCGCCGCCTATACCGGCCACCACTCGTCCGAGTATCATGACGTACTCGTCCCGCGCGATGCCGCAGATCAGGTTGCCCAGCGCAAAGAGGATGTTGCTCACCACCAGACCGGGACCGCGGCCGAAAATGTCGGTCAAACGGCCCGAGATGGGCTGACAGGCTGCATTGGAGATTAGGTAAGCCGTCGCCAGCCACGACAGCAAACTGAGAGACTTGAATTCGCTCGAGATCGGTGCGGATAGCGTCGCGATGATGGTCGAGTCGGTCGCCCCGAGGAAGACGCCCACCCAGGACGTGCCCATGATCAGAGCTATGCGGGTGAAGGACAGCTCCTCAGAGAGAACGGTCCTCTCCTCGTCGTTGGCGGCCGTAGCGGTAGCGGACACAGAGCTGGGTGATCCATTCTGGTGAGCATCGATGGGAGCCGCCTTGGTGCTGCTGAGCAGAGGTGTGCGCTCAGAGGCGTTGCTGGCCGAGGCATCCTCTACGTCTGTCGGCGCAGAAGATGAACCACTGGAAGGCTCGCTCATGGTATCAGATAAGGTTGGGGACAGTAGCCAGATAGTCGTCTCGTCGACGAAGGCTTCCACTCCCGGGGAGGTCAATTGTATGAGCAAGGAAGAGAGGAGTTGTGATCGGGAAGGATGAATCAATGTCAGACGGCATCGGAGCTTGTTGGATGGAATTAGTAATGATTGGGTGGCACGGTAATTCGCAGTGGGGCAGGCACGGCACGCAATCACTGCTGTTTTTTCTTCTTTTTTTCCCTCTGTTTCTACGTTTTCATCTCTGAATGTTGTATTCTTCTAGTCTTTTTCTTCTCGATATTCTAATCGGATCGGACGATTTCGACTGCTCACTTAAATTGTGCTACAGACTCTTCTCTACCTCAATGGCATCACGGGTCCCATCCTGAATGGCAGTCACTTGAGCGGCATCCAGACGCTTGAGAGGCTGGCGCGGGTAACCCCCATACCCGTAATACGTTTGTATAGCCTGCTTGGTGCCGGCGATGGCGGCCTTTGTGAGAGGCCAGTCGCCGCGGCTGAGCACCTTTTGCAGGGCAATGGCCTCGTCCGTCTTCCCTTGGACCCAGAGGTCCCACACGCGCGTGCACAGTTTGGGCAGGACGTTTGCGCCCCCGGCGATGATGCCACTGCCGCCGCTGGCGAGGGTCTGGACGGTGAAGTCGCACATGCCGCCAAACGCCATGTATCCGGACCCCTGGGACGAAGGGGTCTTTGCGTCGGTCCCGAGCGCGACGCGCGTGAGTTTTCCGGTGTTGCCGCATGTGAATTTTGTGCCGACAATGTTGGGGTGCTCGGCGAGCTTGAGCAACGTGTCGCTGTCCAGGTCCGTCCCCGACACGGCGCCCGGGTAGTTGTAGATGATGACGGGGAGGGGGCTCTTGTCAGCCACGGCGACGAAGTAGTCGTAGACGGACTCGGCGTCCATCTGCGGCTTGTAGTATGACGGCGGGAGGAGCATGTTGTAGTCTGCGCCTGCGTCAAAGGCGAGCCTGGACAGCTCGATGGTGCCGCGCACGCTGCCCTCGGTGCCGCCAAAGATGATGGGTGTCGAGGCGAAGCCGGCCTCGTCGAGCGCTTCGCGTGTGGCCTTTGTGACGGCAATCTTCTCCTCTCGCGTGCAGTGGACGGCCTCACCGTTGGAGCCGAGCGTCACCAGACCGACCAGTCCGCTCTGTACGAGGCGCTGCGCGTGCTTCTTGATGGTGGGGATGTCGATGTCTTCGGTCTCAGGGTCGAAAAATGTCATTGTGGGGGCGTAGATGCCGCACGGGAGGGCGCGGCGTCCGGCGTTGTTGGTGACCATGATGAACACGGCGAGCAGGATTGGCTGACGGTTACGACGCTGTGAAATAAGACAGAGATGGCAATATAAGAAGAAGAGAAAGATTATCTAGAGGTGGATTGGTGATTCAGAGTGACTACGAGGGATCGTGTCTCTTTTCTTGTAGAGGTGGCATGGTGAGGGGGAACAGAAGGAGATGTCGCTTGGACATTGAGCCGACGGACGGGATAGACGGGACCGGGCAACAACTAACGAGCTTTACATGATTGTCTTCTGCACTCGGGACATTTGAGATGTGATGACCGACGGGTAAGGAACACGAGTATTACGTCGTATTACACAAGTACAGCGATGCCGGAGATCCTCGTGGCCGCAAGATGGACCGAGACGGACAAGACGGAGCGGGTCTCTGCTGCCAGCTGCACTGAAGAGTTCGTTTCACCACCACCTGACTTGCTTACGAGGTACCTACGGAACAGAATCCAGGCATTTCTCCAGCGAAGGCATGTGACGACGGAGCAGACTCGGAGAAATCCATCATTTGTCCACCAATCAGCTTCTACTATATCTGCAATAGTCCTTACGGTAATACCTACGAGGATCGAGTCCGTAACAGACGGTGCGGGGTTCTCCCCCTGACGTGGGGGAGGGGCAGCAGCTGTCCCTCCGCTGACTGTCCGGCGCTGTTTAGCAGTGTTTGGTAGCTCCTCTCAGCAGCTGTAGCCTGTAGAGGCCTGGAGGGGGGCCCTGTCTAGATCCCCGCATAGCCCTGATACGATCTGTTTCGCCGAGATATTGCCTGGAAAGGGAAAACACCATTATCGCGGCATCACAAGTATCATGGCTGGGGAACAGAACGAGCCAAAGCCAGCAGAAAGAGGAAATTAATCACTAACGGGTTGAGAATGGATAACATTATAGGAATACGTATACTCCGTACGGGGTCGATTAGCCCTCCAGCCAGAGCAATGGCCTTCTGCCGCGTTTGCTGCATATTGTGACTGAATGAAAGCAGCTTCCTCTAGCGGGGCACCTTTCTCCCATTAATAGCCCTGCATTCCCTCTTTCTACTCTCTCCATCACCATTTCCTTCTTCAAAGACCCCACACCCCTTCAACAGTGACACGTACACTCAGACAGGATGTCCATCCCAAATGTGTTGATGGTATGTGGCTCTCCCCCGCGGTATATCCTTGGACTCCTACTGACAAAGTTCCAGGTCGGTACGGGCGAGTACACCACTGGCTTCGTCGGTGGTGGTGCCTCTAACTCGGACAAGAAAGTCGGCGTCGTCGGTCTGACCCTCTTTGACCTTCGTCGACGCGGCAAGGTTGGCAACCTGAGCATGGTCGGTGTCAACGGCACCAAATTTCCCGCCATCCGTAAGCCGTACAGCCGCCTCTTTCCTCACATCGTCCTCCGTCTAACAGACCTGCAGGCCAACATCTGGACAAGAACATCACACAGGCCTACAACGGCCTCGACACGAGCTTTGACTCCTTCCCCGAAAACGACGTCAAGGACCCGGACGCGTACAAGGCCGCCATCGACAAGCTGAAGCCGGGAGACGCCATCACCGTCTTCACCCCAGACCCGAGCCACCACCCCATCGCCTTGTACGCCATCGAGCGCGGCATTCACGTCCTGCTGACCAAGCCTGCGGTCAAGGAGCTGGATCACCACCAGGAGCTGATCCGCCGCGCGCGCGAGAAGAACGTCTACGTCTTCGTCGAGCACCACAAGCGCTTCGACCCGGCCTATTCGGATGCGCGCTTCCGGGCCCAGAAGCTGGGCGACTTCAACTACTTCTACTCGTACATGTCGCAGCCGAAGTTCCAGCTCGAGACATTCAAGTCGTGGGCTGGTCGTGAGTCGGACATCTCGTACTACCTCAACAGCCACCACGTCGACGTGTGCGACTCCATGGTCCAGGCCAGGGGATACGTGCCCGTCAAGGTGTCGGCCTCGTCATCCAAGGGCGTGGCCGTCGACCTCGGCTGCGTAGACGAGACGGAGGACACGATCTCTCTCCTCGTCACCTGGGTCAAGAAGGATGCGCCTGCGAAGCGCGCCATTGCCGTCTACACGGCTTCGTGGACTGCCCCCCAGCGTGCCGGCGTCCACACGAACCAGTACTTCCACTACCTGGGAGCCAGCGGGGAGATCCGCGTAGACCAGTGTAAGCGTGGCTACGACGTAGCAGACGACGAGGCCGGCCAGCTCCAGTGGATTAACCCGTTCTACATGCGCTATGCACCCGACGAGGATGGCAACTTCCAGGGCCAGACCGGCTACGGGTATGTTTCGATTGAGAAGTTCATTGACGGGTGCCGCGCCATAAACGACGGGACGGCTACTCTCGAGAGCCTAGATGCCAAGGAGCTGCCTACGCTGAAGAACACGCTCGCGACCACGGCTATTCTACAGGCTGGCCGGAAGAGTATAGATGAGGGTCGCGAGGTGCAGATTGTCATTGAGAATGGGGAGTGGAAGCTGGTGTAGCTGTATATGTCTATTTAATAAAAAAAAAGCATTCAAATGATACAGTCAAGAAGAAGACGCGAATCCCAGAAAGGCATCGATGCCGTTTTTGTTACATCTTCCACTGTCATCGTCCATACATTGCCAAAGACATTTTTCACTTCGATCTCGCTCAACTCTTGGACCCACAGGTCGCAAAACTCAGCAAACCACAGCCGAAGCAAGATCGATATTCCAACACTTAAGCATTTAAACCCCTTCCATCGACGAAAGCTGCGGGCGAGACAGACCTGAGTCCGGCATGCCCCAGTACAAGGACGTGATATTCCCGCAAGAGGAGAATGCACCGGCACTATCCGAGCTGCTAGGCTCACTGCGCCGCAGTAACCTGAGCATTCATAACCGTCTGGCGTCCATCTACGCCGACTCACGCTTCGTCCTGCGCTGTGCGCACCGCCTGGGAGGTGGCAGCAGCACTAGCGATGAAGGCGATGCAGGGGAGAGGGTGAAGACCAAACCCACATGCCGCCCCCTGGTGGCCAACGAACGCTGCGGAAGCTGGTACATCCCCCCCGCATCGAAGCAGGGAAGCGCCTACTTCAAGAGCACGGACGGGCACGAGCGCGCTTGGAAGTTCAGCACGCGGCGTCTGAACCTGCACCTCGTGGACCTCGTCGAGCTCCACGACGGCATCATCGTCGTCGACTCCACGCGCAGGGGGAAGCGGATGCCCGACGCCCTGTCGGCCACGGTACCGATCTGGTGCGCCGTGCTGAACCGCGTGCTGCTGCCCTCGCACCCCGGGTCGCGGCGACTGTTCCTCCCGCCTTACTACCACGGATCGACGCATGCGCAGATCGAGGCCCTCATCCCGGGATTTGTCGAGTCCCTTGTCGCTCTGGGGCTGGAGATGCCGACCTCTCTCACGAAGCCGATGCGACCGTTCTGGGTGACGCGCGACACCGCGTTCGGCTCTGAAGACGGCTCGCCGACGGGAGTGATATTCGAGGATTACCGCCCCGTCGTGTGCTGTACTGCTAGCAGCCGTGTCGTGGCGACCACCGAGGCTGAGGGTGGCGGCGGGTATATCCAGGGTGCGGCGGATGACACGGAGAACTGGGCGCACGGTCTGACACCCGACGTCTTCTGGAGCAATCTGGAACGGCTGCTGTCTGCGGAGGAGGATGAGCTGCCGGGGATCATCGGGCATCTTGTAGAGACGAGTCGGACCGACCGGTTGGCCGGCGGAGGGAATCCGGATACTGTCCGGCTGACGCCGCACATCTCGGTGTGTACCTTGCCGATGCCGCCGGGTGAAGATGCGTGCCGGATCGCGCTGCTGCCGATCACCACATGCCAGGACACTTGGATCAAGACGCCGAGGTCGATGGAGGTCGGGCTGGGAAAGTCCAAGGCTGCCAGCAGGGCACTGCGACTTGCGCTCCCAAAGGTGGCCGAATTCGTCGCTGCGTACGTGGGTGCCAAGGGGGATGATGCCTCCCCAGATATACTCATCGCGTGTGAATCGGGGAAGGATCTGTCGGTGGGAACGGCGCTCGCCATCTCGTGCTACCTGTTTGACCAGGATGGCAGGATGCGCAGATCGGAAGGTGGCACGGCTGTGACGAAATCGCTGGTCAAGACTAGGTTGGGGGCATTCATGACGGCCTACCCTGGTGGGAATCCAAGTAGGAATACGTTGCAGAGTGTGAACAGTTTTCTTATGGACTGGAGGAATTGAAGATTTACTTTTCGAGAGACGAGAGGTGAAGAGTGAATAGAGGAAAGGGGGTTAAGGTTGATCGAACAATGGCTGTCATTTATCTCATCAGGTAAAGACGGATGTCTCTGCTATCTTGGAAACAACAATTGAGAAAGAGGAGGAGGAAAAAAAAAAACCAAAGGAAATATATATATATATGTGTGTCTAGATGGTACCGTTCTGGAACTTTTCAAGGATAGCGGGAAACTCTGACCAGTGACGCATGATGACGACGGCACCGGCCTCGGTGAGGGTCTCGACCATCTTCTCCTGCTCCTCGGCCTCGTAGGGCCCGACGTAGCCGACGACCTTGATGCCGGCGCGGGTGCCGCTGAGGGTGCCGCTGCGGCTGTCCTCGATGGCGATGCTCTCCTCGGCCTTGGAGCCGAGCTTGTCCAGGGCCCAGAGGTAGACGGCCGGATCGGGCTTGCTGGTCGGCTTGGGCAGGGACGAGGCGGCCGAGTAGATGAAGTCCTTGGGGAAGTACTTGTCCTGGCCGACGATCTCGACAGAAGCAATGACGCGGCGGATGGCCGAGGAGGAGACGACGGCGAGCTTGTACTTGCCCTCCCTGGACAGGCGCTCCAGCTCGGCGTCGACGCCCTCGCACGGCTTCAAGCCGGACCGGAGCTTGGCAATGACGGCCACCTCCTCCTGGGCCACGTAGCCCTCCAGCTCGTCCGGGGGGATCGTGAAGTTGTTCTCGGCCTGCAGCGTGCTGAGCATGCCGCGGAAGTTCTGCCCGACAAACTTCTTGATCAGGGTCGAGCCCGTGAACCGGTCGGGAAGGTTGTGGTCAGAGCAGATCTGGTTGAACATGTCGGCGCAGGCCTCAAAGGCCAGATGCTCGGACAGGACGAGCGTGTTGTCGCAGTCGAAGAGGAGGGTGTTGTACTTTTTTGTTTGTTTTTTGTTTGTTTTTCAAGTCCGTCAGTGCATAGTCATACCTACGTCGATATTCTGGCATGTGAAAAACGAGGGGTCATCGAGGGAGAGCTTACTGTAGGCATTTTGACGGTATCGTCCTGTCTCGCTCGGGAGGGATGAGGAAAGCAAGCCAAAGAGGCGGATCTGTCGATCGAGTGGATATTTGGGGGGGGGGGGG